CCCGGCCCGGGCTCGGCGGGGTTCCGGCGCCAGGCCCGCGCCTCTCCCGGGAATACGGCAACGGCGATCCCGGGCATAGAGCAACGCCTCTCCCGGGAATACGGCAACGCCGCCCCCGGCGGCCGCCCTTACCTGCGCCGGGCTCACATCGCGGGGCCGGGGCCAGCGCTGCCCCCCCCGGCGCCCCTCGGCCGCCGCCTCGCCGCCGCCCTGCGCGGGGCCGCAGGTATGTCATGAGTGCCGAGCGCGGCTCCAGGTGAGCCGGGCACACCTACAGGAAGGCAGGCGGGCCGCCCTGATTGGCGTGCGGGGCCGGCGGCCGCGCTCCGACGGCATCGCGGCGGGGCAGGGCAGGGCAGGGCGGCCGCGGCGGCTCTGGCCCCGCTCCTGTCCCCGACACGTCCGAGCGGAAGGTATTTTCCTTAATTTTTTTTTCTTTTTAATTCAATAGTAAGACTCTGGGTGAAGGTCCTAGAGGGAAAGCTACACGAGGAGCGGCTGAAGTTTGTTCAGCCTTGATGAGACTGAGGTCAGAGCTGCTGCCAGCAGTTCTGCAGCTTCCTCACGAGGGGAAGAGGAGGGGCAGGCACTGATCTCTGCTCTCTGTGACCAGGGACAGGACTCAGGGAACGGCTGGAGCTGTGTCAGGGGAGGGTTAGGGTGGATTTTAGGAAAAAGTTCTTCCCCTAGTGGGTGGTGGGGCACTGAACAGGCTCCCCAGGGAAGTGATCACAACATCGAGCCTGCCAGAGCTCCAGAAATGTTTGGACAACRCTCGCAGGCAGATGGTGGGATTGTTGGGGTGTCTGTGCGGGSCCAGGAGTTGGGCTGGATGATCCTTGTGGATCCCTTTCAATTCCAGACATTCTGTGATTCTATAATAACAGTGTCCCCCTCGGGTTTGGACACAGTGCACSGTTGCTTTGCCTTTGGAGTTCACCTGGCCCGCCAGCTTGGTGTGTGGACCAGCTTAAGAATTAGAGGTGCTTTTCTTTTTTCAAACCTTCCTTCATTACCCGAGCCTCTCGTTTACTCATTCCTTAACTTCACATGCGTGAGCCTTTTGTGTTCCCAGCAGGCAGTTAGGGGGTCAAGGAAAAGTGTTGGGTTGTCCCAGGCTTTACAGGATTACGGGATCCCAGGCAAGATCATCAGATAAATGTAAATTAATGAAACATGTGAATTCAGAAGAAATTGARCAGGACATGGGTAGAAAAATTCTGTAGGGCTACATTACGAAGCTGCATCCACAGTTACAATTCCTGGGCATTTTGTCTTTCATAGATGCACAGGTAAATATCCTGTGGATAGGAACCTTTCTGGCTATGTTCAGCTCGGGAACAGCMTATCAGTTCCATATCAGTAAAGGAAATTGTGTCCCTGTCAGCCAATTTGACTGTAAATGACATGAATGAAGGGAAAGAAGAAAAGGGGAGGACAAGGTAGTATGTGTTAGGGATGTATGGGAGTAGCAGGAGAAAGGGAAACACTGACACAACTGATTATTGTGATCATGAAAAAAAGAGGCAAGTCCAAAAGGTGTTTGGTGTTTTGGGGGATTTTCATTGCATGGCAAAGTAAAGAGTAGGTTACTTYATTCTCCACTGCCCCAGTTTCATTAATTGCATCCATGACACCTGGATGTGCTTAAATTTATGTGAGGGTGCATTTGGTTCCATGGTGCATATGGGTCTTTGCTCACCAAAAATGCAAAGTGTGCAAAGGATTATTCTAGACGGGTGCCTGAGGAAGGCATTACCTATCTTATATATTCTGTCCCCTCAAATTAATATCCAGAGTTGTCTCATGGCTAAGTTTGGATTTTTTTCCTAATCATTTCCTGAGGCTTGCAGGTGTGTATCTTCTAGGATGTGCTCTGAAGGTTTCAGGAAAAGAGAAAGTGGTAATCTTGGCTCAAACACCCAGGCAATCCTGAACCTTCCCTTCCCTGCATGACCTGTGTGGAGTCTCCCTGGCTGAAAAACTCCCCTTGGAAGTGGCACACTGAGACCTCTCCCCAGCCAGCCACAGAATGGTCCTCGTGCTTGCTGCTGCCTTCTGATTCAATTACTCCTTTCATTTGTTTGTGTGGGTGCCTTCTTTCAGCAGAGTGGATGATCTCCTGCAGCTGAGATTCCCATTCCACATCACTGCATTTACAGTCAACAGCGAGGAAAGGCATGCTTTAAATTCCCACAAGCTGAGACACTGGGAAGCTGATTCTGGATCATGTCTCTCTTGGGYTGGTCTTAGACCTCTGGGACATCATATAAATAGCCAATGCTTATTCCTACTGCATTTTCTAAGTTCCTAGCAGCTGGCAGTGGGTYGGAGTTGGTCATCCTGACTGGAAAACTCTCCTCTTCCATCCAGAAAAGGGCAGCTCATTTTCTAATGTGGGCTTCACCTTTTCCCTGTCCTTGGCACCTCCAGCAGCTGCAGAGGCAGTTTTCTATTTGGTTTTGCTAATCATGTCCTGAGATACCTTACTTTCTGTGCCCATTGCACAGAGAGTTTGAGTGCCTGAACACATCTGGAATCATGCACAGTGTAAGCAGGAGAGGTCCTGTCCCATGCTGTGAGTATCCCAGGTGGATTGGGCTGCATTGTCACSTATCTCAGCCCACCAAACTCTGGGCTTCAGCAGCTGAGTGCCTGGTATGCCCCTTTCCCTTCAAGGATATAYCTTTTGGGGTACATACATATATATGTCCCTGGACATATATCCCTGGTATGTCCCTTYCCTCTAAAGAGGCCCAGCAGCACCAAGAGCAGGGTTCTGTACTCTGAAGTGCTCTGGCTTCCTGCAGTGCCTTGTGCTATCGTCAGGCTGAGGGGCAGTTGGGACATTAACCTCCCGCTCCAACATCCTCCTTGTAAACATCCCGTCCCGCTCAAGTCCTGTGCTGTCATATCCTCTCTGCTCTGCAGCAGACACYGTTCTGGGTATAGTTCTATATGCAAAGCACACAGCTGGGCATGCCAAAACTCAGGCAGGCAGCAGGACAGAACCTGGCAGTAACTTGGTTCAGCTGCCGATATATCAGAAGTACTGCAGAGAGGGGGAGTTGTATCTTTTTAAAACTTAACTATAATCATCTGCTTGAGCCCTGCTTTGAAAGACAGTTCACTTCCCTAGGTGTGTGTAGCAGCTATACCTTACTCCAAGCAGATGCAAACCTGCGTATAAGGCATGAAAAACTCTGGTAATAATGGAAAGGCCCAGAACAGAGAGCTTGGAAACCGAAGCACACTAAGTTTACACAAGCAGCAAGTAAAACACCCATCCCCGGTGAGTCAGTCCTGGCCGTTTCCTTCATTTCCTCTAAGGCTTGCTGTGAACATCCAGCGGTAACAACCCTTCTGAAACCCAGTCATCTCCTTTCCTGCTCCTTGTTTACGCTTTTTCCTCAGCAGGGAGCAGAGTCCCAGCCTCCAGCACTGGATTTTCACTGCAGCAGACAGAGAACTGCAGACGCTCCCCTGGCCTCAGCCCAGCTTTGGTATTGCAGTGCCCTTGTTGCTTTTGTGGGTGCCAGCACCTTGAGCAGRTGCTGAGGTAAAAAAGGACATTTCACTCCCTTTAAAAAAAAAAATCTTGAATGCAGCTATATGATTGACAGGTTCTCTCTTCCGAATCCATGGCTTTGGATTCGGTCTGTAGGACAGACAGGATGCAGTGGGGTATTACGTTGTTTTAAGAGTACAAACCATCCTTCAGAGATAAGGGTTGGAGCTTCCCTGCTTCAGATTAAGGTGTATCTCATGCTGTAATTTCCCCACATGACAGCAGCTAGGGAGGAGGAGTATTTTTAGCTTTTGTTTCTTGGTTTGTTTACAGGAAGTTCTTAATTTGTGAGAGTGAGCTTTGGCCTGTCTTAGTCTGAGAATCTGCTTCAGTGCCAGTTGTGGATGCAGTTACAAAGGTGACTYCCGCTGCTGTCTGGCAGAGCCTTCATTTATCCCAGGTGTGTAAGAAACTATGGACTCCACAGAGACAAATAGTGATTTCTGGGATCTTTCCTGAAACTTGTTCAAGGAGATGTCCAGGGGGCTGTGACAGAAAGGTTTAGGAAAAGAGAGAACTGGGAATTTCCTTCAGATGATGTGCTAGAAATGCTTTCCTATGTGAAACTAGTTACAAATCCACACTGCTGCCATAACCTGAGTTAATCACAGTARCTCTGAGACAAAACCCATATTGTCAAAGAACGTGAATATCCCAAGCGAAGCACAGACCAAAATGGGCTTCCCTGATTTCCTTCTCAAGTGCCTTCTTCTGGGAATCCTAAACAGCTTGCAGCCAGCAAGTGACATAGATAAAATGCTGTGTTTGCTCCCATGGAATAAAACCAGGAGCAAAATAATCCACTTAAATTACATATCTTTATAATCCTTATTCAACCTCATACACTTTTTCTCCCTACAAAAAGCACTAAGAACCCTTTGTGAAAAGGGATCCCTGCAAATGAGCCATGGAGGGATAGTTTTATGTTCTGAATTATGTACTAGTTACAGTGAAGGTCTGCTGGATGGATTAAGTACGAGTGGCCCATTTAATGYGTTGTACAAATGTCTTCCAAAGTAATTGCAGTGGTCTGGTTTAATGAACAAATTAGGCCATTGTCCTACACAGCTAAATTTCCCATWTTTATGGGATCTGCCAGGAAAATTTAAACAAATAGACAAGACTACAGACTGTCTTGAGACAAAGGCTGCTGTTAGAGGCATGAAGATGAGGGATGGTCTGGACAGTCCCTGCCTGTCAGCTGTGAAAGGTGGTAAAAGAATATTTTCATTTGCACACATCCTGTAGCCTGACATTGCCCAACAGTTCACKTGATTATAAGCTCCTGCCTGTTCTAAAAGGGAAGAGGTGGGTATAGGGCTTTAAAAGCCATATATTCAACAGGAAGAAAAGACTGAGATGTTATATTGCATTAGGTATATCAAATGTCATTTTTGCAAGTTTGGCTGAAGGAAAAATCCTCTTGAAAATGTAAGAGCTCATTCCTATTCCACTGAAAATTCCATCACTGAGTTCCCAAATGCTACTGGTGACCAGGAAACCAGTTGTTTTAACCATAGTACATATCATTAAAGATTGGATAACTGCTTCAGAAAATATAACCTTTAGCACAGGTTCTTTTTTCCCCAATATTTATTCARAGGAGCTTCTTGTTTGCAGGTTGGAAAACCACTGTGCTTCATACTATTAAGATGCCTTCAAAATGACAGAAAGACACTATGGAGGAAAAAACGTGAACTGGGGGAATGAGTAGTCAGACAAAGAGGAAGGTAAGAAAGCTTTTATGGGCTTTGCCTCTACTCCATCGTCCAAAGTTTTAATTTTTGGCARTTCAGGATCACAGCATTGGTCTTGCTATCCAGAAATACCGCAAACAAATTTTGGAAAAGCTTAACGAGAACTGGTTATGCAAACATTCCCAAACAGCTGTTCTTTTACAGCAGTCGATTTAGGCAATTCCAAGCTCAGTGCAATTTAAAGGAAATCTTTGGGCTTTTTGTTTTTCCACCCTGAGGTGCTCCATGCCAAGGACACCCCAAGGATACTTGCTAGTTCGTGGCAGGTGCCTCTCTCAGACTGAAATCCCCAGCTGCAGCTCCCAGGGAGCCTTTTAGGAGGCAGCTCTTGGTTTCCTGTGCTGCTTTCCATTTGTTTTGTGTGATTCTGAGCACTGCAAAAAGCTGGAGTTTCCCCCAAACCCTTCTACGGTCCTTCTGTTGCAGCTAAATCCTTGTGCAAATCTGAAGCAGAGCCCTCATGCTCCAGTAAATTGTTTCCCAGCTCACACCATCTTTCATACCCATGTGCAGATAATTGCTGGATTGGAATCTCAACCTTGCCCTTTACATGCACCTCACACACTGATGTTTCTCCTGCTTCCTCAGGAGTGAGAGAAAGCCTAAAGAGAGAGTATCCAGSTATTGATAATTTTCTCCTTTTCCTCTTTGAAAAGTCGTTACAGGACTTTTAAAATATTTCTATTCCATTTGCTAAAGCACGAACTTCATCAGTCTTACTGATGTACTTTTCTCATATATGTGGGCATTGATGGCAATAACATAAGTTGTGGGGGAAGGGGGGTGACACTCAAAGGCCTCTGTAGAAAGGATCCTGACAACAAACCAACCAATTCTCTGCCAGAACATCTAGAACACTTCATTCTGCCTGTTTTATTCAGATTCAGGTAGGCTGCTTACCCTATGGTCATTTCTTCAGGCTTTCTGCTCCAACTGTGAACTTTAGAAGTGAATTATAGTAAGGGTAAGGTGGAATATGGACAGAGTCACACCAGTGCAGGTACTCTTATTCTAGTCCAGAGCTGCTGAAATAGTTGGAACCTCTACAAAATTGAGCATAGAGAGCAAAATTGAAAGCAGCATGGCGCCTTTGAGGGGCTTGCCAAATATTCCTCTGGTTCCAGCTGAAAGGGAGGATGTGGCTGTGTAGGAGCTGCATGTGTGCAGGTTATTCCCCATGTGGGCAGCTGCAGCACCGGAGTGTGGGCAGCCAGGTGGGAGGATGACACTCAGCACCTTTCCCCTGTGCTCAAAACAGCTGCCTCTGCCCCAGCCCCATCCTGCCCATCCCTGCACACTCGGAAACCACTGTGCCAGGAAGTTGCTTCTTTCTAGCTGAGATCCTCGTATGATAATGTCCAATTAAGTGTTGTTGCTTGTGGTGTAGGTCAGTAGTAATGACTCAGACCAGCCCTTCACTTCCCTTCCTCTTGTTGGCTAGACACAAAATCCAGCCCACAAATTAATCTGTCCAATTCACCAGTAAAGAGGATTCCCTGTTCATTAAAAAATTGCACAAGAAAGTCCTTAGTTTGTACTAAGGTCCTCTTGAATTGCTGTGAAATCAAGTACTTAAAAGTTCAGAAATCCCAAATTTCCCCTGCATTCCAGATGTAGTGTTTGGCGTTTTGTTTTRGTCATGGATGGATGGAATTACATGCAGTAATGTAACTTTTAACGAGATAAACAGTAATTTTTCATCAGCTTTGTTTTTGTAGAGGAGGATAAACAAAGTCAAAWTGTGTCTGCATGAGTCCTGGAGGTGAAGATCTCTAAGCCTGGATGTATGATAGTGTAGTGCCCCCTCATGGGAAGCTGTTCCTGATGCTGTTTCCTGGCTGCAYCCAGGGAGAGAACACCAGCAGAAGCATCATTCTGTTCGTTGTAGCTGCTCCTGTGTGTTGGTTGTTGTCACATCAGCAGGTTTAGAGAGCAACTTCGCTTTTCCTCCTTCAGGTAGTTTGTGTTAAGGCTTGCTGTAAGGGTAAGTTCAAGAAAGATACACCATTTTATTGTAGTTTCAGGTTTCTTTTTAAATAAAACCCCTGTAATTTTAGCACCCGTGGTGGCTTTCCTGAAGGCCCTAAATTTGAGTCCTGTAATTTAGATAACAAAACTCATAACAGAAAAATGAGCACATGTTCCTTAATCACCTCCACAGTGCTGGCCTGTTTTATACTGAGAGAGGATTCCCTGTGCCCCTCACCCCCCTCAGTTCTGGAAAAAGCAGCCTTTCCTATAGGATGGATTGTAAAGATTGAYGTGAGCTTGCAGAGAAATACAGCCATACACACGGGGTGGGGAAGTATTGTTTGTTTGGAGCTCTGGTGCTGTTGTTGGAAGGGCAGACTGAAGCAGGATTGTTTCCTATGAGCAAAGGCACATTTTTCATGAATTGAGCTTTTGTCCTTAACACACAAAAAGGGCCTTTTTTTGTGATTCACACTGTGTGATATTTTTAGTTTTCTTTGCATTTAGTTAAGAACAGCACAAGAATAATACTGCAAATAACCCATARAAGTAGAGTGACCCTATAAAAAGAGTGGTGTTTCTGCCTCAGGAAAAAGCTTGCTGTTGTACTTTGGAGGCTCAGATTGTAAAGTGGCTGTGGTAGGGGCCACATCCTTGTCCTGTGGTCAACATGCATTTGTCACAGACTCTTTTTCCTCTTCTGAAATTTTCACACCTCCTGAGACACAGTGAGTTGCAATCCCCAAGGAATCTGAGAGAATAAAGRAACAAAGACCAAAAGGATGTTTAAAAGTTACCTTGTCACAACTGTAAGCTGATGGTTGATGTTCCATTCCTTGGACCTCCCTCTCCCTTGTTAGTAATTCTCAAAAAACCCACATGACCTCCCAAGGCCCATCASCTTAGTAGAGTACTCACATCCACCTCCTGCTACCCCTGGGCCCTGGAGCATTGTCAGGTTGTTCTCTGTAGTGTTTGGGGTTGTGCCTCWTATTCCCTGCAGGATTCCAAGCAGTGGCTTGGATATCTTTGCCTTTGTCCCASCTCTGGTGCTGGAGTGCCTTCCTGGCAGGGCTCACAGTGAACACATTCCATTTCAGGGGTTGATTTCTTGCTGAGGTGCTTTCATTGATGCTGAGGAAGGAAGGGATGAATCCTGACTCCAGCTCTTCCCACAAGGAGCAAACAGATCAGGCTTTTCTCTGGTGTCAACCAGCTGATCCCGAATCAGGTCAAAATTCCCATCTAAACCCTTTCCATGTATATGCCACATGGGACTATGCCTAGATTATTTCATCTTAGATACCCAGTCAACAACTCAGAAAAGCCCTAACTCTGTCCTTTATGTACTCCATCAAATAAGATGTCCTAGTGGCCTTAATTACTCCCAATGAACTGGGAAGGTCTAAATGTCTCCCTGTCTTAGGAGTGTTCTCTGCAGTGGATCCTATAAGAACCGYATGGTCTGGATTTTTTTCCAGTGCCTGGGGTATCTTATGCCCCTATATTGTCAGATGGTGGAAAGATGACTCTATAATATTGCTGTGGGACTGGTCCAGCCCACAAAGATTTCAACAGGACTAAAAGTACTCCAAAGAATATAAAGTGGCTGCTGCTTCGCTTCATGGGAGCAGGACATAACAGAGGAGAAAGGCTGATTGCAGGAAGGAGGTGCCATGTGACAGAAATAGCACTAAAAAGTCTTGCCAGCATTTACCTGCTCAACAACTGCAAGGCAGTTTCTTTGAGAGGAAAGATGAAAGTTTTCTATYCAAATAAGAGCTTGAATTTAAATGCCTGCATTGAAATCAGGATTTGTAAATCTGTAGTAGCTTTGTTATGCAAATGCTAAACGTTTTACTCATCACCCATATGTTTAATGATCCATGTGACATGCATGGATGGTTTTTAGTTTATTTTTGAAAAGGGTAGATGGATTTTTGCTTTCCAAAGGCTGAGGGATAGCTTGGCAATCAGTCCTCTACTGAGAGAGTGTGGCGATGTCTGGTTAACTTGTGGTGCAGGGGTTTTCACAACCTCCTAGATAACATTTTCCAGCTCTGGCTTGCTCAGGGAAAGTTTCTCCAACATCTAGTGGGTTTGTTTTTCTTTTCTCCTGTCTTCTTTTCTTTCCTGGAAATTAAGTTGGTTAGATCTTACCTCTGTCCTAGCAGTGTAATCGCTGCCTCTCAATAGCAACSTCTCATGCACTGCAACTGCACTATCGTGTCCTGCCCTATTTCCAGCTTTCTCCTCTAGACTCAATAAACGCAGTTCCCTGGTTTCTTCCCAGAGGTTGTTTTGCAAACCTCTTATCACTGCRGATGTGCTCCCACACCCACCCTGGAGCAGCCTGGCTGTTTGCTGTTCCCTGTCCAATGTCAGTGGTRGCTTCTTGCTGCACTCCAGCCATGTATTGCTGCACCCCCTTCCATGCTCCCAGTGCTTTCCACAGTGGAGTTGGCCAGGATTCCTGCGTGGGTGTGGGGGGCCCTGCCGAGCCAGGTGCTGGGAGCAGGTGCCAGGCCCCCAGGCTCTGCCAAGTGCAGGAACCAGCATGTGCAGCTCACTCCCTGCATCCCAGCCCTGCAAAGAAACCAGAGTCCCCACAGAACTTCCCGGCTTTGTCCTCAATTCCCAGGTTCAGGAAAGGCACCAACACTCTCCTCAGGAGCTTCCAGATCACAGAATCAAAGAATGGTTTGGGTTGGAAGGGACCTTAAAGCTCATCTCATTCCAACCCCTTACCATGGGCAGGGACACCTTCCACTAGGCCAGRCTGCTCCAAGCCCCCTCCAAWCTGTCTTTGAACACTCCCAGGAWGGGGCAGCCTCTGTGCCAGGGCATCACCACTTTCAGAGTAAAGAATTTCTTCCTGATACCTAATGTAAACCTATTCTCTGTCAGTTTGAAGCCATTCCCCCTTGTGCTGTCACTCCAGGCCCTTGTAAATTGTCCCCATCTTTCTTGTAAGACCCTTCTACATATTGAAATGCCTCCTAAGGTCTCCCTGGAGCCTTCTCCAGGCTGAACAACCCCAGCTCTCTACACCTGTCCTCATAGGAGAAGTTAATTAATTTCTGACTGATTTCTGCTAATCTGCTTTGGAGAGGCTCTTAGGCAGAAGAAGTTCCCATTTTCTAAGAAGTGTGCTCATTTCAGAAACTCCTAAGGAGGAAGGGCTGCCAAAGAACARGTGTAAGTCCTCTCCTTCATTTCAGGAGCACCAGCTTCCAGGATCTGTTGGAGTTATGTAACCCCCTTGTATCAGCTACTTCAGTGTCCAGCAGGGGAAGTCCTGGTCATGCACAGTGTTACAGAAACAAATCCTTCTAGTCTAAAGACCCCAAACAGTATATAGAGCACTCATTATTGCCAGTATTCTGATTAATACTTTATTATAAAATGGGCACCTTCTGCTGTCATTTATTTCACTTTCTTCCCAACACCCCTTTCTCCCAAATCATCCTTATATCCTTCCTGAGTTCCCAGCAGATTCAGTTTTCAAACCAAATATTTTGTCCTGCTGCCTGGACAAGATGTTGCATTAAATGCCAAAGAGGATGGACAAGGCAGTCTCTCCCTGCTGATCCTCCCATGGGAATGCCAGTAAGAGCTCTCTGCTGCACCTGGCCACTGATCCCTGGTTATAGGAGCACTGATCCCTGGATACAGGAACCTTCTCATCTCTTGATTCCTCTACCTGTTTGTATTTGATTGAAATGAGCCAGTTGGTTCCTAATTGGGGGATGACAGTGGGATAAAAAGAATCTTACTTCCTCCAGAAACTAGAGGAAAAATCCCTCCCCGAGCCTGTCAAAAGCATACCATGAAATTAACCTCCAAATCTACAAATACGTACTTAATAACATCAAAGAGAGCTTCTGAACTGTCTTTGATTTTGAAACTTCTGGGRAGAAATGTTAGGTGGTGATTCATCTGACTTGTTTTAGGTGTCTGCCTTAGGAATAGATGAGTCATGYCCTAGAAGTGCTGCTTCAATATTTGAAAAAGGGGCTTCTCTTATTTTGTTTGATGACCTATTCTCAGTCTGTTATTACTTATAATATTTTAAAACTATTAAAATTTTKAATGCAGAGTTAATCTTCGCTCAGGATGAGGATGGGCTGATAATGTATCTTTCTGTGAGAACCACGGTTTCATAAAATCAGTTTCACTCCTGTGATTTTGCAGTTTGTCTTCTGGAAGGGATGTGTGGAGTAGACACAGTGAAGTTGTAAGACCAAAGAAGACAGAAGCCTAGAGGGGAAAAAGGTGAGCAAGTCAGAATCTGAAACAACACAGTCAGGAAACACAGGTGATGTGGTTTCTCTAAAAAGCTTGTTTGTTCAGTTGGAGGGAAAGGGAATTGTGTATACRCAGCTGTAGTTTTAGTAACTGTATATAAATAAAGGAAGATTGTACACACTATCTAATATCATTGTATTAGATTTTACATAATACCAGGATATACTGTTACAGATTTTATATGTGTGTGTGTGTACTGTTGTAGACTCCAAATCTATGTGCAGAACACCTTGACAGAAACGTCCTGTGTATGGGAAGTGGAAAGTGATGGAATAAATAACTTTCTCTTACATCCAGTGATCCAGCTTTTTAAAGTTGCTGAGACAACTAACCCTTCACTATAGCTAAGAAACACTTGAAGATGGCTCCTCACTTCAGGGATGGTCCTCTAATTCCCCTAACGCAAAGATGAACTCAGTGGGATGTAGACCTGAGCTCTAATTGATATTCCTGTGGTTGTCTGCCAACCCTAGGCCAGGTTTAGATGTTCTTCAGAATCTTTCATTTGTGWTTGGTCTTCCCTTCCCTTGAGCTGCATTCGGTGTCCTTTTGCATATATAGGATCTTATGAAAGCGGTATTTAAAAGCAGAAATGTGTTCATAAACTTTACTTATGAAAAGGGTGGTAGACTGAGGTATAAAATTAATCTAATTGGGCAGAAGACAGAACTTCATTTACAGCAGATGAACACACTGTTATTTAAAGTAAGCAGCATCCTAGCTATTCATGGAATGGCATTTGTCTTCAATAAATATTTTACATAATACATGCAAGTTATTCATGGAATGGCATTCATTTTTCATAGAAGTTTTATGTAATGCTGACCCCTTGGGACTCACAGGAATAAAGATTTGATAAAAACATGGTCTCTTACGTTCCATGATTTTGATCTCAGAGCTACAGAAGTAGTTGGAATGTGAGGTTTGTTTTTTTTTTTTTTTTCAGTTCTAGACCCCCTGAACATTTCCAGTCAACTGCTGTACATGTAGGCCTACTAATAAACCTTTGCTTTCCTTTGTGACCTCCCCAGAAAGTCAGCAGTTTATAAACTGGGAATTGTGGTGTATCTGTGATGACTTCAGTTTTGGGAGATATGGGATGCAATTATAAAACATAATATAATTGTGGGCGCTTTCTTTGTTGATGGTACTGATGACAAATTCTCCTGGAAGCTCAGACATTAATCCTTGGGAAAACTGAGTGTCAGGAACCTAGTTATGGAGCCATGGGGCCATTTATGGACAGCCTRTGCTGGAGGGGGGTGTAGGGCACAGCAAACTTCAGCCAGGAGGAGCAGAAGATATTTTGCCTACTGAGTCATGGCACTAAATGTGCTTTTTACAATTATTCACAGTGAAATTCAGTGGAAGAATGAATCAGATCATTGGTATTTTATCTGAACCACAGTTGTGAAATTTCAAGTGACTATGCAGGAGGGAGGTTGCATGATGATGKGTATCATCCAGGAAAAACATGTCCTTGTGCTTACACTTTTTCTTGTATTTTTTCTTGCTTATGTAGAAAACCTGTGGGTGTAATAACCTGAAAGATTGAAAGGTTTTAAAAAACATCTTACATGAAACTGCTGCTTGTCATCCCTGGATGCAATTCTGAGGGATAAAAGCAGGATTTGCATAGCTTTTTAATTTCCTGGGACAAGCCCAAAATAAGCAGTGGCTTTGTCCACATTTTCAGAGTGCTGCTGCAGTCACGATCCTTGTAAAGAAAGGAAAACACACCAAGTAAGATGGCTTGTGGTTGGACTTGATGACTTTAAAGGTCTTTTCCAGCCTAAAAGATTCTGAGTAGTTTTGTTTCACCTCATTGTGGCCTTGCATTCCCTGAAGGGAGTCTCCAGGAAAGATGGAGAGAGACTCTTGACAAGGGCCTGGTGTGACAGGACAAGGGGGAATGGCTTCACACTGAAAGAGAGCAGCTTTAGATGGGATATTGGGAAGAAATTGTTCCCTGTGAGAGTGGTGAGGCCCTGGCACAGGTTGCCCAGAGAAGTTGTGGCTACTTCACAGCAGAAGTCTTCCAGGCCAGGTTGGATGGGCTCTGAGCAACCTGGGATAGTGGAAGGTGTCCCTGCCCATGGCCGGGTGTTGRAACTGGATGACCTTTTAAGGTTCCTTCCAATCCAAACCATTCTATGATTCTATAAAGCCTTTCTGGAACAATTCTTCATGAAACAATATCCCCACCATTCCTTGCCCACAGCAACCATTGCTCAGGTACCCCAGAGAAGGAGCATGTTATATACCTCAGTAAGTGATTTTAGTTGATAAATAGATTTTTTTGCTTCTGAATAAACATCTAGATTTTTAATTATACTTTCCATGTTTAAATTATGTGTCAGAATTACTAACTCTCTTTTGGTAGTGGCCAGTATTTAGCATGTGTCTCAGGCATGGCTTTTGGCCACTATAAACAGTTTGCACACTTCTGGGTAGCTGCTCGTGGCTGGTGTCCTGGCAAATTTTGATCTCAGCAGGACTTGATCTTTAAATGTTCAGGCTGGCCAAACTACAACAGGTAAAGAAGCTGTGAGGAACCCTGGCTGCTTTGCCTGCCAGCAGACTTGTTCAGGCTCCCCACATTCACCTTGCCTTGATTCATGCAGAAAGGTGCGGCTAAACCAGACACAGTGCCACTTCCTTTCTGTGGCACAGACTTGGGAAGTTCCCTAGGCTTTGTTTCTTGCATAAGAAGTAAGACAGGGAGCTGTACTGAAGTTTAAATAACTGCTGCCAGGCATTTAGAGCAATCATTCATGATTGTGGTTTCCCATTTGGTACCAGTGATGATTAAACTCGGCTAAGCCTCTCCTCTGCTTCCCTCAAACATTTTCCTCCTGTCACACTGACACAGCTGTTTGTGTGTCTGTACAGTGGATTGGATCACGAACTGATCCAGCTAAAAATAACCAAGGGTAGAGTGGAAAACTATTACTCTTCAGCCACTGAATTTTCAGTCTGCATCACGCTGCAGCTGCACACAGTGCTGCACTGGCACCATGAGCAGAGCTCAGGAGGAAGTGGCCATGAAGTCACACAGAAGAGGGATGAGGCTTTTGGAAGAAAAGAAGGTGGAATGAGAGCTCCAAGGGGATGGGCAGAGGAGTACAAACCTGGCAGCTCCACTTCTCAGAGGTACTTAGCAAGAGCTGAGCACCAATTCCGGCTGTGTGACATGCACTTGGAAAAGATTCATAAACGGAGCGTCATCTGCAGATATTCCTCGTGTGCAAAAACAGGCACATTCCTGTTTAATGCCTTGGTTCTGCTTTCTGTTAATTTCTGCTGCTCCCCCCGGGCTCCTGTTGGATGGCATGGTGGCAATACCAACTTAAAGAATCGAGCTCTGGGGATGTTTGTTACCGCCCTTCCCAGACTGCAGTTTTCTCTCACTTKTGCCAGCCCTGCTGTTTGTGGAGCTGTGCTGAGCACTGGATTGGGGAAGCAATGCAAATTAAAAATAACTCAGTGGAGTGGCTGGGGATTGCAAGAACTTTAGCATCCAGGATAATCTGCTGTCACAAATCAGCAAGATCTGTTTGCCACTGCAGAATGTCATGAAAGCCCAGCCTTGGAGATACCTGTTTAATACAAGGAATATGAACCTTTCAGCCAGCGAAGGAGCCTTTGGAATGAGGAGATTGGAATCCTTTTACCTTATTTGTAAGGGACACTGTGCCCAAATGGCAGCACAAAACATTTTCATGCAGGTTTTGCTTTAGCAGTTCTTCACATGATGCTTTTGGAGCAAAAGTTAGTGGCAGCATATGCTGTTCAGCTGATTGATGTTCTTTACTCTGGATTTGGGAGAAAGCTACCAGGATTTTTAAGGGCTAGAAGGGTACTGCAGATATGGGAGCTGTGATATCACCAAGAAAGGGAATAAAAAAAGCCTTCTTCACAGACAGCTTCATGGTAGAGTGAAGTAACAATTTGTGGATGCATTCCAGATGAGGCTGTTTTCCTCTCCAKCTGTGCTCTAGAGAAACAATGCCACTGCTGTGATGCACTAACCTAAATGATCACACCAGCAGTGACATCATTTTTACCTCCTCACAGACTTGGAGGAAGCATCTGTAATTAGTCATTCTCTCTTTATTCCAAGCCATGTCTGGTTTTCTTCTGGCACCTCTCTTCAGTTCATGGTTCATGCCTCCTGGGTTGAGTATTTTTAGGTACCAGTCATTTCCTTTTTCTCTCCCTCCTGCTTCTGACCTGGCACTTCACTGCCTCTCTCCCYAGCTTCTGCTGGGAGATGACTGACTTGAGCACTGATGGCAAAGGTGATGAATCCAGAGACTCAGAACCTGAGGAATTTCAGGATCTTCTCAGGTTGCATTTCTAGAGAAAGGAACTCACTTTCTCTCTACRTGCATTAGTGGCTCTGGTCACAACAAGGTGGAAGATGCAGGTGAAACCCACAGTCCCATTGGCAGCTACATCTCAAATTAGCCAAATGAAAGCAAGTGCCTGAAGCTTAGGGCAGGATGTGGCTGCCTTGAGGTAAATCCTGAGTGCTTTCACAGCTAGCCTGTCCTCAGAACAACCCTGACAAGTAGCATCAACATTGACCATGCCAGGGAACTTGGATTCAAGGGTCCAGAGCAAATACYAGAATGCTGTGCCATCTTCTTTCACTTCTCTAAGAATATGAGGACTTCATGTGTATTCATGGTTTTAATTCTCCTCTAGACACAGGAAAAATTTTCTGTTTCACTCCCTTGTTCCCTGCATTCCCATTGCTGTTTCCTTTTTCCCAATAATTGTTAATTTTTTTTTTCAATAAAACCTCCTGTGGTTCCTGTTTCACCCTACATTCACATAAAGGCTTGATCATATGTCCAAAGAATTGTGAAGATGCCTGAAATCCCTCTAATGCATTCTATATGTAAACTCTGTTTTTCCTGTGTTGSCTGGTATTTCTGCCTGAAGGCATCAAGAGAAATCCAAAGGCAAGAAAATAAAGCAATTGGCCAGCAAAGAGRCACCTTCTTAAGCACAAAAGCCAGGTGCAAAGCTGTGGGAAGAAACTTCCCAGTCCCTCTACTGAAAAAGATCTGTTTAGGTTGGGGAAAAAGAAGATGGAAGGACACATACAGGTCTGTCACAAGCATTTCCATCTGTAAAAGCAGAGGCACATCCTGTGTGCTTTGAGGTGGTCTGGGGGAAGCAAGGCGAGGCTGCCCTTTTGTGAGGGGAAATGCTATCAGAATAGGGACTGACACAGAGAAATCTCCTCTGTGGTTCTGTGCTTGAAGATGGGAAAGCACAAACACCTCAGCCATAGTCAGGCAGAGTTCAGCAGGGTTGTAGGGAACGTCAGCAGGAGGGAGAGACAGAGCAGAAAATGGCCCTACATGAGCAGCAGAGCAACTGCAAGAGCTCTGGAAAAAAAAAAAAAAAAAAAAAAAGGAAGCCTAGATATGAGGGATAAATTACTTGGGGGGCTCTGGAGAGTGTTGACCCTTCTCCCATGCAGTGTTATCACATTTCCCCAGTAGCTTCAGGAAATCAACCCCCCCAGCCTTCCTTCCTAGCTGTTCATCTCATTTCAGTCTCTTCCGCTCTCCCTTCCCCTCACGTGGGGGCCTGGATCAACCATTCACCTCTGCAATGGCAAAATGCTTTGGGACACCTTGACTTYGACTGTGTTGCCTTTTCTGGCTTCCCTTTTCTCAGTCTCGGGAAATTTCCTGTATTTCCCTTTTTCTTTTTTTTTTTTTAAAGGTGGAGGCTCCTGCTGTTGTGTCCTCCTCTGGCTATTCAGACCAGTGTTGCTGAGGTAAGGAAGAAACAGAGCCTGAAAGAAGTCACCTGTGCATGCARGGACACTTTAGTTTGTTTGATGTATGTCAGAAATGGT